CAGCGACCCCCGCGGCCGCTCCCGGCCACCCTCCCTCGCCAGTGCGGAACCGCGGGAGGAGGGGGGGGGCGATGGAGATGAAGAAGCGCATCAACCTGGAGTTGCGGAACCGGGCCCCCGAGAAGGTGAGGGGCGGCGGGGCCGGCGGGGCGCGCTCCCCCTGCCCCTCGGGGCCGTCGCCGCCGCCTCGGGCCGTGCGGGCCCGGCGGCGCCGCCGAATCTGGGTCAGCCGTGGCGCAGGGCCCGGCGGGGCGCGGGCGGCGCTTCCGGCGCGGCCCCGGGACCCGCGGGCCGCCCGCGCTCCCCCCGCGCCTCCTCCCTCGGGGCGCCCCGAACTTCCCGGGGGGCGCGGCGGCCCCGGCTCCCCCCGCCGTTAATCCGCCGCTCCCGCCGGCCGCAGTAAACAGGTCACGGCGGCGGCCCCGGCCGCGGCCCGCCGCTCATCGCGGCGCCTTTAATTAGCGTTAATTACCGCCCTTTCCCGCGCCCGCCGCCCCGCGGGGTCCCCGTACCCCACCCGCGTTCCCCCCCTCTTCCCCCGCCGTGCTTCCAACTTCCCTTTTCTTCGGGGAAAAAAAAAAAAAAAAAAAAAGCCCGAAGCCCGTGGAAAAGCGGGAGCGCACGTGCTGCCTCCCGAGCATCGCTGCCCACCGGGGACATCAGTACCTGGCTCGCCCCACGAGTAAAGTCCGGCCTCGGCGCACGTGGGTTTTTCAGGGGGAGGAAAAGTTCCCGAAACTGTTGATTGAACTCGCCCGGCCGTGCTCCCGTGGAGTTTGTGGGTTGCAGGTACCCAGAGAGGCCTCCACTTGCTGCCAGCGTGCGGCTGCCGGGGGCGAAGCCGGGAAACCGCCCCTCTCTCCAGGCAGCTTTCCTTAAAACTCGGTGTTTTTGTGGAAAAAATAAAGTAATAGCGGGAAGCTGGCCCAGTGCTGCCCGGGGTCTGCAGCGCTCCCAAAATGTTGTTAATGAAAAGCTTGTGGGGAAAGGGAAGAGTCACCTTGTGCCTGTCCTTTATCGAGTGGATGTTCCACTCCAGGTAAAATAACTGAAAATTAATTGGCTGCTCCTTGTCACCGCTTCTCCAGGCACACGGCCTGTATTGATTATCAAGTGTCTTTGGCACGAGGAAATTATTTAATTGGGCTTAAATGACCTGCAGAACTCTCTGGGAAAATCATCCGGAGTCGGCAGGTTTGGGGTTCTGAGTGAGACTGGTTTGAGGGGTTTGAGTATGCACAGTTAAATGGGGAGCCTCGGGGATGAGTTGGTAGCTGGGGATGAGTTGGTAGCTGGCTGCGTGCACAGCAGCGCTGTGGGGAGCCGTTCCAGGGTCTATCGGGGGAGTTTTGGGGCCAGGGGGCAGTTTTTGCAGAGTTTGATACGTGCTCAAAGGAAAGCACTTTTAGATAAGTGGGTGTTGGTGATATTGGGGCACGAGTGTGCTGTGAATGTAAACCAAGCCCCAAAGCAGCAGCCCCTGCCCGTGTCGGGGCTCAGGTGAGTGGGGGGTTTGGTGCTGCGACACCCACACGGGTGGCCTGTTGGCAGGTGACGGAGTTGGTGCTCGATAACTGCCGGTCCAGCAACGGGGAGATCGAAGGGCTCAATGACTCCTTCAAGGAACTCCAGTTCCTCAGCATGGCCAACGTCGAGCTGACGTCGCTGGCCAAGCTGCCCACGCTGAGCAAGCTCAGGAAGGTGCGTATCTCCCGCCCGCCGGCGCTCCGGGAGGGCGGGTTGGACTTGTGTGGCGCTAACGGTGCTTTGTCTGCAAAATTTTGGGTTTTTATTTTCAAATATGAAGTTATTTTGGGTGTCTCCAGTCAATTGTGGCCAGCTGGGCTCGGTCGCCGGCTCTGGGGTGGTAAATGCTTGGCTGTGGACATGGTGAAGGTTGGCTGTGCCTCGCTGAGCTCTCTTGGGGAGAGCCCTGGGATTGCTGGCAGGGAGCTCCAGTCCTCATAACTTAAAACTGAGGTGCCCTAAACCCATGAGACTTCCAGGAGCATTTTATGATTCCCAGCTTGAAGGAACTTTTTGACAGACTTTGGTTTCTTGACTTGGGCGACTCTTCCAAAGTGGCTAAACGCTTAAAGGGAGAACGAACAACGATGAAGCAGCTGAATCTAAGGGTGAGAATCCAAGTGTTTAATTCCTCTTTTTCCTGTGCAATAGCTGGAGTTGAGCGACAACGTCATTTCTGGAGGCCTGGAGGTCCTGGCAGAGCGATGTCCAAATCTCACATATCTAAATCTAAGTGGCAACAAAATCAAAGATCTTGGCACTGTGGAAGCTCTTGTGAGTATGAGGTGGGAGGGGCTCGGGAGGTTTCACAAATAACTACTTCTTGTCAAGAATCCATTCGTATTTTTGGGAATGGGTTGGTACAAACATTTATCAGTCTCGTGGTCAGAGGAGGGAGATGCTGGTGGTGATCTGTTTTTCTGGATGATTGGGGTGTCTGCACACACAACCCAACCCCCAGGACGCGAGGGAGCCTGTGGGTTTGGGAGCTGGGGGGGTGGTTGTTCTGCACAGGCTTTGGGGGTTCAGCCACTGGCAGAACTTGGACTGAACTTCTGGGGAGAAAAACCCTGACTGGAAATGAGGGATGGGGACACAGTAAATTGTGTGACCGCACTGTACCTGGCAGCGCCGCGTGGGTGTGTCGAGGACAGGGGGGAAAAACCCTTTTTTTGTTCACTTCCAGCAAAATCTGAAGAACCTGAAGAGCCTTGACCTGTTCAACTGTGAGATTACGAACCTGGAGGACTACAGGGACAGCATCTTCGAGCTGCTGCAGCAGATCACGTACCTGGACGGGTTCGATCAGGAGGACAACGAGGCGCCCGACTCGGAGGATGACGATGACGGTAACTCCCCGGAGCAGTTGGGAGCAGGAATGATGGATACTCTGCTGGAGTAGAGCTCTCTCTGCAGTGCAGGGACATCCTGAGCACAGGAGGGGGGTTCTGCTCGTGTTCCTGAAGCGCCCAGTCCAGAGTGTGTTTGGTATTAACACACTGAGGCAGAGCAAAAGCTCTGTCAGAGGGTTTGAGTCCTGCAGGAGCTGCCTGGGATGAAGGGAATTGGCCTAAAGGTACTTTTAACAAAGGCACAAATGCTCTCTAAGTAAATTGTTGCCAGCAGTAAAGCCCTCTGTGCTGCTGAGTGATACAGAGCGAGGGGACGCGCTCTGTTTTCAATAAAAAAATTCGAATTTCACAGGGGTTTGTAGTGGCTTCGGCCTCGTGCTTCAGTGTAATGTGATTTTTGGTTCCAAAAGCACACCAGAAAATTTCCTTTTGGTCTCATCTTGGTTGCAGTCCTTAAGGAGCTGCAGGTGTAGCATTTCCCAGGCAGCAGGTAACAGAGGTGTGCACTATGCTAAGCTGGTTTTGCCTTAAAATATTTTAGAGTTGGGTTCTGTAGTGAAGCCCCTTTCTCTGGTAGGAGTTTGTGTTTGTAGCTGCTTCAGGTGTCGAATTTTGCCTGAAGCTTGAGATGGAAAAACAGTGGGAGCCTTTCTTAGAGGAAAAATGGCAAAGATGAACTCTGTTCCAATCGTGGTTGGTTCCCACGTGTGGCCTGCATTTAGGGGAAAAAAAACAAAAGTAAAAATCCCCAGATCCTTCTGGGAAAAAAGCTGTTAGAGCCAGCTCACCCTGGTGTGTTCAGAGAGGAGTGAATGGCCTGTGTGTGTGTCCTTCACTGCAGAAGGGGATGAAGATGACGATGATGATGAGAACGAAGCTGGGCCTCCAGGAGAATATGAAGAGGAAGACGATGAAGATGATGGAGCTTCAGATCTGGGGGAAGGTGAAGAGGAGGAGGAAGTTGGTCTTTCTTACCTGATGAAAGAAGAGATTCAGGTACAGTTGGTAAATTCTGCCAAATGCAGGAAGGGAAGCTCCTGTGGGGTTCTGTGGATACAGAAAACAGTTCCAGTCCAGTTCCAGGGTGTGGAAAAGAGCTGCCTTTTACAAGGGGATGGGCAGAGTCTTGTGGAAACTTGGTGAGAGTTTGTTCCTGTCAGGCAGTGGGTTCAGTTCCCATATTCCAAGGGCAGATGTTGGGTGGGCTGTTTCCCCATCTTGACTTGTCACGCTCCCCTGTTTGTCAACTTCCACCGAGCAGAGGGATACAAAAACAAACCCTGAGTTTGCTGAATTCTCTGGAACTGATGGTTTACATTTCTCAGCTTAAAACAAGACAGAAAAGCCAAGACAACAACTTACTCGTTTTCACAATAACTTGGGAAGATAATGTTGTGCTTTGTCCTACAAAGGAAGTCCAAAGCCATCAGCATCTCTCTCTCCCGGTTGTCAATAAGTTCTGAGCTGGTGCGACGTAGTGAGCAGTGGGGGAAGAGCAAAGAAATGAGACTCTGGGGCCAGCTGCTGCCCCAGCAGGATTTCTGCCTGGGATCAGTGTGGAAGGAAGGCTTCAATAAACAGCTACTGTAAAAAACGTTTCCTAATTTTTGTACAGGATGAAGAGGACGATGACGACTACGTTGAAGGAGGCGATGAGGAGGAAGAAGGTAAGTGCTGAAGTTGTAAATGGGACAGTCAGTCCTTTATAATTCTATACCTTTTGTGGGTTTGGGACGTGCAGATTAACACAGAAATAAAAAGTAAAATAAAAGTGAGGCAGAAACATCAATTTTCCAAAAGGGAAGACGCTGCATCTCCTGCTGCTCCGAGGTGCAGTGTGTGATCCCGTGTGGAGAACGGGCTGGGGCTGCTCTGGGGCATTTGCCAGAGCACCAAGTTCTGCTTGAAACAAGTGGGTTACTGGAGTGTTCTTTAATAATTCTTATAAAAACTTCCACGTCTGTGTGAAGACAAGTCCCAGGATTTCTCCCCAGCTGAGCCCTCATCTGCTCCATGCACTGGGCTCAGCGGAGCAGGTTTGGGAGCTGGACCTTCCCCTTGCAAAAACGGGAATTTTGGAGGAGCAGCAGCGTGAAATCTTCACTCTGTGCAAATACAGCCCTGGGGTCGGCATGGGCCGTGGGGCAGGGAATGGCTCCTGGGGAATTCCTGGACTGGAAGGGGCAGGATTGCACTGCGGGCTCCCACCACCAGAGCGCACAGCACGCCACCCAAATCCGGCCTTTTCCTGTGGAAAAGCTCCAGGACATTGTGTGGAATCCTGGTCTGTCCCTGGGGGACAGGAGGGAGCACGTCCCACCTGGTACCTGCAGGAACTGCTGGGCTGGGCAGGGGGTTGGGGCAGCTCTAAAGAGGGAGCCTTGGGAATGCCCTGCTCCCCTTGGGAATGCCCTGCTCCCCTTGGGAATGCCCTGCTCCCCTTGGGAATGTCCTGCTCCACTTGGAATGGGGATACCCCGCTCCCGTCCCCTGCAGGGGGGTGCTGTGGGAGCAGAGCTGACAGGCTGCCTGCATCCATCCCTCTTCCCTTAGCAGAGGGCGTCCGAGGGGAGAAGAGGAAACGAGAGCCCGAGGACGAAGGCGAGGAAGAGGAGGATTAATCCGCAGGACCAGCCTCTCCAGTTACGGAAGACGCAATAGTGATTATGCAGCTCTGTATGTCCATGTACCATAGGTGTCCCGACAGAAATCCTATGTTAACTTTTTATAGCAGAAGTGTGGTTTTACTATTCCTGCCCCTTTTATCATTCCAGATAAGCTCTGATAGCCCGTAGGAACCTTCTGTAGAGAACAATTTTCAGTCCTATAATCACTGAAGCCATTGGCAAATTCCCCCCCCCACTCCTCCTCCTCCCCACCAGACTTTTTCTTTGGAGCTCTTTAATTTCGTACAAACTTGCTGTGTTGGTCATCGTTAGCCCCGAGTCCAACCCCCCCCTTGCCCCATGGGTTTAATATTGGGAACTTCCTTCAGGATTTTAAAGTTTTTATGCTTAAAAAGATAAATTGAACAACGCTCTGTGGCAAATTTCACAGTCTCTTAAATCAGTTGATGCTGAGTTTTCCAGGGATTCCACTGGAAACCCCCAACTAGATGACACCCGTGTTTCAGGTTTTTACAAAGTGTCTCCCGTGATATTTTTTAAGGCTTCTCTCCAATTTGGGTGTTCCAGGGTGAAGCCTCAGCGGGTTTCAGAAGATCTTTTTGTTTTCCTGCTTGCTCCGATGCTCAGTGTTTGGGGTATTCGCTAGATTCCTTCAGGGGTGTATTTTGGCAAACAGAAAGAGTTGTGTTCCATACAGGGTTGCAACCCATAAATTTTTCTCTCCCAAACCCATTGTCACTGCAAGTATTAACAAAGCAATTAATGTGTAGTTTTAACCCATTTCGCTAGAAATCTTTGTTAAACCTTCACTCACTTCGCTCTCGCATTGTCATTGTGGGAATTCTGCACCAATCATGGCTATAAAATGTGTAAAATAGATGAAATATGCATTTCTGATGCAGAAGTGAACGGGTAACTCCTCCAAGCGCGTTGTTTTCCAACCCCTTTTCCCCCCCCCCAGCTTTTCTAGAACCGTTGAAGGGAAGGATGAACCCAAGCTGGTCCTTCTCTGCACGTCACCTCTCAGACTGTAAATCTGGCCGAAGGCGAAACGCTCAGTTCAACGTGTGACAGTCAGGAATATTCGGGGGTTTATCTCGAGGTGCAGGGGATGTGCAGAGAAGCTTTTCCCAGCAGCCTTTAATGATTCCCAACAGTTCTGCCCCGATTGTACCACCTTTCCTGTCGGAAACAAGCCCCGACTTCCAGCGTTCCCCCTTCCGCCGCGGTCTGGGTTTCACGCAGCGCAGTCGTGGTTTCACGCCGACTGACGCCTCACGTAGGTCCTGAACCAAATATCACACACAGCTTTATTCCAGAGACTTATTTTTGTATCTGTCCTGGCTGCCGAGAGCTGCCGGAAACTGGGGAGAGCCCGCGGGTAGGAAGAGGGAGATCCCTGGGCCTGAGTCAGTCCCCATCGCCCGGTTCCCTGTGGATGTTCCGTAGGAATTGCCCACAGTAGTTCGATGTGACCTCCGGCTCTTCAGTGGAGTGCAGATCGTGCAGGGTTGAAGTTCTGCAAAGCCCCGTTCCCTCTGCGTGTGGTTTTTTCCCCCCCAACTAGAGCCTTAACTCCGGGTTTCTCCTGTAGCTGTGCAGTGGCCTCGGAGCGGAGTCAGGCGGGCGGTGGCACACTCGGGAACAGCTGACTCCTTGGGCTTTGTGTTTTTTTTAAGGAATATCTCCAAAAACGCTGGAAAAGTCATGGTGAAACTTCCTTTGCGGCCACAACCGAGTCCTGTGTTTGTGATGAGTCCTGGGTGGGTCATTGCACAGTCCATCATGTCCTGGGGGCTCTGGGCGAGGCACTCGCTCCACGCTCAGCTTTGAGAGAAAAGGTGTTTCCCCATCCTTTTGCTTATTGTTTTTAGATTGAAACCTGTTATTTATAAGTGTTGTCCGTTACAGCACCTCCCTGTCAGGGCTTTCCTTAACTCTCTGTTACCGATGCAGATAAAATTAGTTTTAAATTGAGAAGAAAAAGAGTCTATTTTGGTGGATTAAAACGATGCGGGCAGCGGGCTCGTTTGGGTGGGCGAGTCCCGCTGCCGAGACCAGACCGACTGAGCTCCGAGGGGTGACAGCCCTTCCCCAGGCCACACTTCCCCAACAGCCACAGCCCCCACGTGGAACCCGAGCCCCTCACGGTCCCAGCTCCCGCTAATCTGTCGGTCCCGGTGTCACCGTCCCCGGTCCCGCGCCCTGCGCTCGGCATGCAGCAACAGCGTTTTTTAACGAGGAATTCAGAGCCTCCGGATAACTTTTGAAACTTTTTTGCTTGGTGGGTGGTCTTTTCATGCAAATACGTCAGGGTGGGTTTTATATTTTGTAGAGGTTTTGTCCTATTTTAATGCTCTTTGTATGGCAGTCTGTATATAGTGTGGTTCGGTTCCTTCTCCGACTCTTTCCTGAAAC